TCTTAAAAAAGAAAATAACAAGCAAAGGTAAAAGTAACTTTTGTAAATTATGCCTGACAGAAAAGTTTTATACTATTCAATCTATAGGGGACAATAATATATTTAACAATATGTTATTGTTAAGGAACGATCATTCCAAATGATGGGTGAGCTCTGAAGCCATCTCTGGAGATCTTGATATTTTTTCCCCTTTCCAAGTCAGGTAACACATTGATAACAGAAATTTTTTTCTGGCATGATGTATCTATAAAAACATTCGTTTTTTAATAATAATAATAAAGATAATAATAATAATATTACCCATCAAACTTCCTTGTCTTTAGTAGTTTCATGAAATCTATTGTCCCAGCAAATATTGGCTAAAAAAATGTGAAGACAATTAAAAACAGGAAAATTTTGAATAAATTATTACTGGAGGTGGAAAAAGGTCATTTCCACAAAAATCACTTTTAATGTAATTAGCAAAACCGAATCGATCTAAGTGCAACATATTGATCTCTAAGTTTTGGCAAATTTTATATCATCTCATACCTTAATCCCGTTATTAAGCTCTTTGTAGTTTCGCCTCTGTGTTGATCTTCTTCTTTTTACTACAATATATTAGGACATTAGCTTTGATTTATAGTGTGCATCTAGCTCTAGAATGAAACACCTTCCTCAACATCACTCAATTAAAGATAAACAGCCATTTTAAAACACCACTACTTGTTTAATGTAGAGATATTCAATCTTTTAGTTATCCCATTCAAATTGAAATTATAATAAAATGAAAATGATAAATGAGTACTATGTAATATTTATTTTCCATGTTCTGTATCCAAATAAATGCAGATAACTTACAAGTGGATGTACCATGGACCTGTTCACACAAAGGGCAATGATAGACATCAATATCCGTAGCCTGATTCTCTGAAACCCCTACACATCTAAAAATAATGAAAATAATTCATGATAATAACACAATTATTGGTTTTAAGGTTCTTTATTCTTGGAATCTTTGCGGTTTGTTGAGAATATTTTTTACATGCAAAAAACCTTATCTTCATGCGCCAGACTGGAAACTTTGAATATACTGCCCAGGCACATATCTGTGTGCTTTTGCATATTGGCCAAACAAAATCTCTAGACAATAACATTTAACATAATCAACTGAAAAAGTAACTAAAAATTTATGATTTCTGGTGGGCAGTCTCAAATTTTCTAAGTAAACTTGTGAATGCAAGAAACAAACGTTTTCAGTCTCGATCCTGTGTTGATGTTATTTTCAAATATAGGGAAAAACATACCAGTCTTGAGAAATTTCTAAAGATCTCCTAAACTGACATACAAATTAGACCCCATTTACATGAGAGTGGATCCGATCTGGATCTGATCCAAAAGAGTACAGATAAGCCTTGCATTTACACCGCAACTGGCGAATCTGTTTACTTTTGGATCCGCTATCCGATTACTTTTGGAATTGCTTTCAGAGGAGATCCCGTATGGATCCGATCTGGACCGGATCCCATATAAATTGGTGGATCTGGTCCAGATCAGATCTGTCTATGTTATTTGTTGAAGGTGAGACAGAAAATTTTTTGATTAGTTTGAATATGTAATATGTGGCTTTTTGGGACCAGAAATCAGAACATCAAGTTGACAAACTACTGTGTTGAAGAATTATTACAAAACATTCTGACGATATGTTCTCATACTTGGTCCTCACAGTTTCCCAATCCTGTCCACCTGCAAGCTTTGCAGTTTTGTAGCGCTACATTACTTTTAAAGTAGGGCAGTTTCTTCTTCAGTCCACACTGAAAGTAAGAGCAATGGCCTAGCGCCCAGGTATTCAGTGAATACCCTGAGGTTTTTCAGAAAAAATAATAATATGACATAAAATTTTAACAACTAAAAATGCTCTGGGGCTATTGATTCTGGTTGAATTCGTTTCCTTTGATATGCTACTTCGATATTTAACTCAGAAGTTGCAAGAGAAGGATCGTTTTCAGTTGAAAATGCTTAGCTTTGTATATGACTGCATAGATCTCTCCTTCTTGTTTTCATTCCTTCTTTCAATAAGTGAAATCTGGGCATTAATATGGTACACGGCAAGTCACTAAAAATGATATTTTCCTGACACAGAAATCAGTGCGTTACTGTGTAGCTAAATTCTGGAATGAAATTCCTATGGATACAAAAAATTCACCCTCTCATGTTATATTTCGTCAAAAGCTCAAATACTTCTTCCTTACATCGATGCACTTTTTAGGGAATTCAATAACAACTTCTGTGACATGTTTCGACCAGTAAATTTTTACTGACTTTCATGATATGTTTTGATCTGAATTACTTTTGATGAAATGGTTAGTGGTAATGTGATGCAATGTATGAGTTGGAAGAGTGTATTTGCGTTAGGCATTTGCAAAGTATCATTTTCATCATAGAAATGCACTGACAACCGAACAAAAAAAGAAAATTAGATAAAATGTCAATTAGCTAGCCCCTTTTAATCTTCCTATTATCCCCCTGTTTTATGAATGCATATAACACTTTTTGTAAAATATAGTTGGAAAACTAATGGCCTCTAGAAAGTTATTTGTCGATGCCCCTTATTTCGTAAGCCCACACTGTATCTATATGACACCCTAAAACATTTGACAAAACATTGCGTGCTGCGAGGGACCTGATGTCCATGCAAGACCAATTTTTTCGGCAAACATAGTAATTAATTTAAACCTGCAGAAGCTGCTTGAGGCTCGAGACATTGACGAGAAAGGGCACATTTTACCTAGTTTGTTAATGATTGTTTTCACTTATGCCGCCGCGGGTGTAAGCGTCTTTGTTATTGTACAGATAACTTTCAATGATGAAAGAACTGAGAATAAAAATACCTTCCATGGAACCAATCTTTGCACTTATCACATTCTATCATGAACTGACTTGGTTGGTACTCAGATTTGCAGACGCAGTACAACTTTGTTGTACTGGCGGCCATTATAAACAAAGCTCCTGTTTAATAAGTGCCAGGCAAAAACCAGTTCTCTGATTGGTTAGAATTTCTAGTAAAACGAGGCTTCTGAAGCCGGAACGAGGACAAGTGTCAATTCAATTCTGTCACTGTCATTCTGTGGAGTGTTGCAGCCAGTAGCAGCCAGTAGCAGCAGTTGTAACATTCTATTCTGTGCTTATAGGACCAATAGTTTAGTGTTCTACGTATGGAAGTTACCAATTTTTTATTCAAGAAGATATTGTATACCAATATTATGTGACTTACTAAAGGTTGAACTGCTTCATGCTTGCCATGGAAAGAAGTTCTGACAGTGCAGCTGACGTGACATACATCATAAAAAGACTACGTTCTGAAAAACATATAACAGTGCAAAAAGAATGGGTGGAAGCATGTATCCAATGGCTTTTAGAAGAAAATAAGGTAATAGCATTGGTTATTTCTGAGGGGGACGCAGGGGACGGGTTAATTTCTTGGTTCGGCAAGGCATAAGCCCCCCTACCTAAAATACTACGTTGATCTTGCTTTCGAAAATTTCCGCCTTGTCTTTAAATTCTTTAGGGGCAGTCTAGAAACGCTTTATTTGCTAAACTAATTCTCTCATCTCTAGCACCTTTAGTGTCTATTCCTTTCCATGATCCAGTGTATACTGTATAGTACTTGTGATAAATCAGACGCGGCTTGACCGGGGTTGACAGGTTTCAAAATACCGGTCAGATTTCCAGAAATTACTTATTTTATGTTTTAGTAAATATAGAGAGAAGAATGTTTATCAGTTTGATTATTATTATCAGCTCCCTTAACTTTATCAATATTAATCATTATCACTATGGATATTTCATCACTCCACCTCTGGCACAAAATTTGCATTTTTCAGTTATACGCAATTTATCAACAAAATAACATCTTGATTGCACAAACAATGTGACTTTTTGTGAAGCAATCAAGTTATTGACGGTGCTGTTTGTGTCACAGGGCTTGCTGTCAATGCAGCCAATTAGCGTCGCCAAAGGTACCTTGAAATTCAAAAGAGTTTGCAAGGTTGGGTAACAAGGAAATCTCAACCTGGTCACCCATTCATTCAAAGCTATTTTTAGCCTTCAACCTGGTCAAAAATGGCTCAAGATTGCCCAATACAAAGCTCCAAGCAGCTTCTAAAGGTTTCATCGGGTTGCAAGTAGTAGATCTTAATTGTGCAATGGAATCAAATGGTCTCCCTTTGCATTTTAGCGAAGTCGATAGAGTATGGGAAAAACAAAAAAGAAGTTTTTAAATAAAATAATAAATGCAGCAACAGATGCTAGAATCAAAACAAGGTTGTTGAAGACAAAAAGAGACCCACAAGGGCAAAGAGCCAAAGCAGCAGAAATATATGAACAGCAAATAACTTTTTTTATTGCCATTAGTTTTGCGCCTCTGGTACCCAGGGTTAATACAAGTTTCCTTTCAAAATCTGCTTTACAAAATTTGCTCATTGATATTTATATTGATATTTGCTGACAGTCACAATGAACATTCTTTCTATAGCCAAGAGAGGAGGGTAGATATTTCCGGGGGCTAAGAGACCTATAATAGACAAATATAACCCGGTTATAAATCTCTCTGGATATGCGCCTGGATAAATTTTTTTTCGGGTTCCAGTCAGACTGCATTCTCTGTGGTTTGCACGGAGAACATAAATTCTGATAAAAATTTTGCGCAAATGTGATTAATATTACCAAAATATCGGTGCAGATACTCGAATAAGCCCCTTATTTGCAAAAATGAATTTTTGGGTGGAAGCTTATTCGAGGAGGGGCTTATTTCAAAGTTTAGTATTTTTCTCAAAGGCCAACATAAAAATGACACAATTCTTCTAACAAATCTAACAAAGAAATAACAAATATTATAATTTTTTATCATCACAAAAGTTGCTTTTTGCTTTATGATTTCTTAGGTGGGGGCTTATTCGAGCGTGGGGGCTTATTCGAGCGTGGGGGCTTATTCCAGCGTGGGGGCTTATTCGAGCGTGGGGGCTTATTCGAGGATTTACCGTACTGTACAGATAAGGTGTCTTCGCTTCTGTAATTTTGCCTGGTTTCCATTTTTAAAGTGAATTGCACGGATCATTTTAGAGTTTAGAATATATTTTCTGTGTATGACATAGAATGCAGTCTGGAGCTCCGGAACTTTCTATTGTGACAAGAGTGTTGCCATCCGAGAATAAGGCCCCAGAACAGCTCTTGCTTGAGAGGAGAGGGCCTTCACTCTCCCTCTCACTTCATGTTTTAAGCTGCTCTGGCCTTTTTATTTTTCAGCACTCATACACAGTGGCGGATTAACCAATACCAGGATCAAGGGCCTTAGGTATTTTAGGGCCAATTTTTGCCAAGAAAAATGATATTACATAATAACAAAGCTTTAACACCATTAACATATACTGCAAAAACTTGAAGCAGCAAGTTTAGATGTATGGCAATTACAAATTAAGATAAAATGTAACTACAAAAATGTCAAACAATATGTTTCCACCATAACATGCCTTGTATCAACATCTTTATTTTAAGCTGCAAAGTTAAAAAATAATTTTATGAATTGGAAGCAATTTCTCAGCTCGATGTTGAGAAGAGACAGGCTACCCAGTCATGGCTGACCTATAGTTTTTGCTGTTCTTTTCTCAAAATGCTTAGCAAAATCAACCATAATGAGCTTTGTATTGTGACATATCTTTGGAAAACTGCTCTTTTGGTGACTTTGAGCTGTTTCTCTATTTGCTGACTGAATGTAATTTTTTACTTGCTTTGCAGACTGAGATTTGGCCAGGGGGGGGGGGGTACTACACCCCTAGCACCTTCAAAGTAGCTATGGCCCTGCATGATATTGCATATTAGAATGGAACTAAAGCAGAAGATAAATTCTTATTTCTTCAAAGTCAAGTGTCACAATCACACTTCCTTTCTTGGCAATCCTGGAAGTGACTTTTTCCTATTTATCTAAGCACAACTTCATTCTTATCTCATTTTCAACTTTGTCAAGATAGAAGTCTCAGCAGTTCCTTCAGCTCCTTCTAGTGTTGTGTTTTGTGCAAAAGTGCTATCAATATCATCAGTTATAGGAGGTAGAACAGTTTAAGTTTCTTATGTTTCAATCACTTCTATTTCCTGAGGCTGGATGAACAATCTCAATCTGTTTTTGGTTGTTTGACTTCCACTTTTCTTGATTATTTGCATATCTGAAATTTTTGCACCAGCCGGAATGGATTATAAGGTATTAATGGATTAATGGATTATAAGGTGTTCCAATCACTTCATAAGGAATTTTTTATACCTATCAACCATTTCTTTAATTACATTTTTCATTATGTCCCTTTCTTAAACCTTATGTCAAACATGGCTTTGAAATTAAAGTACCTCTACCTTTCACTTCTTTACTTTTGCCTACTTTGTATAAATGTATGCTTCCTAGTATGATCTATTCTAACTTTGGTTTTCTTCCAATTTGAAGCTGTTCATATTTGAGATACAGTTCACACTGACAAAAGGGGTGTTGTACCAAGCCAAATTCAACCTTGCCAGATTATTATCAACATCAGATATTAATATTTCCAGGTAAAAATCTCCTCCTTAAGATGTTATCTTTTGGTCTTCTTCTAAGTATTTGTCCCAACCATCTCACTTCATTGGCCCCAGCTTCTTATCAACAGTTTTCTCCAAACCCAGCATGTTTAACAGTTTTTCTGTGTTCTTCATATTAGTCAGCTTTATCCCACAAATTTCTATCACCTTGGCTCTTTCGGCCCTTGTCAAAAATGAGAGTTCTTTTTCTCGTAGACACCATGTTTGCTTCCATATTGCACCAGCAGTAAAATCTTAGTCTCCTAAATACTGGTTAAAAATATTGGTGCTGGATTTATTGATGGAAAATGTTTTAGTGGGGTGATTTATATGTTGGTGTAAATCTTCTGCAGACAAAGATCTGGTCTCTTATTACAAGAAAGGAAGTTATCAAAATGTCAGAACACATTTTAAAAGATGCATAAAGCTCTGATCATTCCACAACCTAACGAATTCGTGATTCTCTATTATGGCAAAATTAATGTGTTGGTTCATAATCTCTTTTCATTCAATATAGCATTAAATACATTATGTTCACGAGTTTCGATAGAAGCCGGCGCTGGAGAGTTTCATTGAAATCTTAATCTTTGAACATGTTAGAGAGCGAATCAGAAAAAGAAGAAAGAATGCCAAGGGCTCCCATCGACACAATGACAAAGTGAACTTGGCGATATTTAGTTGACAGGGAGTTGATGAGAGACTTACAATTTTGACCTTTGCGGTCGCTGTTGACTTTTAAGTTGCTCTCAAATCCAACAGTTAACTCAAGAAGATAGAGAATGCTATTGTTGACAATTAAGACAAGATCAGGTGTTAATGAATCTCCTGTAATGAATGTAGGTGAAGTGAAGAGATATACGTGGGCAGATCGACGTATAGATAACATTGTGGTAAAGATGGAAATGCTTTAGCAAGACATAATAGAACCGAGTTATGCCTCCACGTATATCTACAATGCTCAGCTTGAAACGGTGTGTTGTAATGTTTCACCTGGTAGGCAGAAAGAATTGAAGAACTGATGAAATGATAAAACCCTGCGACTTTTGTTCGTGGTGGATTCTTTCTTCATGTTCATGTTGTACAGCCTTGATGACCTCCTTAGTGTTTCTATATTGGTCATATTGAATGTTAGTATAGTGGCTGATTTCTTTCCATAGAGAAGCTGTATCAACAGGAACAAGGGGATTTAAGTGAATTTCTTATGGTAGTTTGACATTGAGAGAATTCGATGGAAGGAAGGATGAGGCTGATGCCACATTTTGCTTTACGTAATATAAGAGAGCTTAGGGTTGCACTGGTTGGTAACTCTGGCCATAGTCTATTGTTATGATATTATGGTGACAGTGTTATCAAGCTTTTCCACCACCCAAGTTTTGCTGAGATCTGCAATGTTGAGGTTCCAAGAATTTTAGACAGAACGAGACGATGATGCAACATGACTTTTTTTAGGATGACAGTGGAGGCTGTGAATCTTGCCCATAAATTCGCTGACAGTGTTAAAGAATGTTGTTGATTGTCCATAGAGAAATTAAAATGTCGAGCGAGATACCTAAAAGATTTTGCAATATCCACAGGAGCGACAATGTCTCGGTTAATAATGAGTTTTGGAAGATATTGGATAGAAGATGTTGCAGTCTTCTTTATACCAAATGTTAAGCATTTATCTATTCGGATTATCATACCCGCCCAAGTGCGCTAAAATGTGAAATGATTTAGTAGCAACTGATTTTCTTTCTCAAGACAGGTTATAACAGCTGCTTCGTCAGCAAACTGGAACCAGTGCACTGGACGTAGGGAGTTGACAGCGAATCCAAACTGGGCAAATATCTGCTGTGATATGTAGTGTATGACGGTGTTGAAGCACAGATTGAAGGTCAATAGACTGAGGCAATCCTCTTGAAGGACTCCACGGCCCACTTTAATGAAAGGAGTGTGAAATCGGTCAGTTATAATGGAAACATTTCATTTTCAATTCAACTTAAACTACAATTACAAATCTCACTATTACAAGGTAATTTGCAATTGGCTAGCCTGGTCTAACAAGAAAGAACTATAACAATCATTAAGTAAAAGGGAAAACTGAGAAAAAACAGCCAAAATTAAAAAGGATGTAATTCTAGGTTTGTCCATGGTTTATTTTTGCAACAAAATATGTAGTACGTAGTAGGGATGGCAATGTTTGAAAGTTTAGAGATGAGTTACCGTTTTTATTGTTGATCGATGGAGAAAGATTCATGCATTCTGAAGAATGAGTTGCACGAATTGCCGAAGATGCCAAGAGAGCTCATAGAAAGATTCACAAAAGAGACACATTTCAACTGCCGTTGTAAATCAAATTTGAGAGGAGCATATTTGCTGTGTTTTCTTGTTACTTGCATATTTGCTGTGATTTGTGTCAAGACTGGATTCGAATCCAACAGCTAGCTGTAAGATGTAAAGGTCGTTATTGTTAGTCTTCAAGAAATGATCTGGGCGAAGGTTTTCTCCAGTTATGATTGATGGTGAAAGATAACCAGGTATATCAGCGCAGGTGGTAGACTCATTGACAGCTTTTAAAGACGTAGCTATAAAGTTTAAGGTAGAGTTATGTCGCCAGGTGTATCGGCCTTGTTCCAGTTGCAGCCAACGTGAAAGAGGGTTTCTGGCAGAAAATAGAAAGAGCAGTCAGAGGTCCGCTGGCTCAAGTTCCACTTTTAAAAGTTTTTTCTTTGTGGCAAGGGTATTGTTTAGGTACCTTGTTGTGAAATTGAAAATATTCTGAGGCATGCTACTTTGCTCCTTGGACCAAAGTTTGTTTTTGTGTGGAAGGTCCTGATTAAAAAGATGTCATGATAAAGACCCTTGGGAAGTCATGATGTTTTGCAGATGATCTGTACGCTTGTGCAGTACAGCCTTTGATGTTTCTTTTCTGTTTCTGTATATATCATATTGTACATTTGTGCTACTATTGGTATTTTTCCATTAAAGACCAATGATATCTTCTTTGAAAGATCTGCTACAGTAAGGTTCCAAGAGATTTTAGAAAGAACAAATTTGTAATAAATAACAATAATTATAGATTTTAATTATTATTGCTGTTAGTAAATTGATTGTTATTATTAATATTGACTGCTCTTTTTATTGGAAAGAATAAATCAAAGCAGTTTCTACCAAGTTCTCCAGTGCAGCCCTATATAATATTTTTGCTGAGCCCAAAATTTGACACTATTGTTAGTATGGGGCTCTTGTGGTTTAACTGAAAAATAAAAATTCTAAAACTTCGAAACCTTGCAGCGAAGAAAATAATGAATCTTTCAGCTTGATGCCCCCAGGCAGACCTCTTATTAACAGGCTGGGATGGAAGATCATAGAGGAATTGTAACTGGCGAATCTAAGATAATAGCCTTTAAATGCCTTTATAAGCTGGCTCCTCAATATCTGTATGTTCTTTTCAAGTGAAATTGGTAACTCTCAGCTTAAACCCTTGGTATTACAGCTAACGATTTTATTTCTTATACTTGTTTTGATATTGCCATAAAAATGAGTTAGAGTTCTTCTTTTCTTCCAACAAGCCTCCGCCTGACCACTCATTCGCCAAAGTAGTTTAACCAAGCATTCACCCGAGTAATTTTGCGCTCCCGTATGATTCTGCAAAAAGCCTTGGATCAGTCTTTTCATTAATACTGTGGTTTAATACAGCTGTGGCTGTCATTATACCAGCACATCCAATCTGGCTATTAGTATGTAAACTTTCTTTGGCGTAAGGTCAAAATGAAATTGTCTTGTTGCGTTCTTTTCACTGCAAGTTTCATTCTTCTTCCTTGGATTGATGATTTTTTCACTTCCCCTTAACTCTTTCTAGTTTGCATAGAGAATAAGCATGACAAGACCGGTTGCAAAGCCGGGTGTACGTTTTAAATTATGGTAACACTTTGAATTTCAGAATGAAGTTTTATCAGCAGAAAACATTTATAACTTGGTCTATGAGCAATGGTTGATGTCCGATCTGCGTGTTATCAGTGAAGCGTCTTTACCAAACAGTCTCTCATCACTGGAAGGAGAAAAAACATTGAGCGGCGTTTACAAACTACAGGTAAAAAAATTACTTTTTGATACTACTAAATTTGAAGATTGCATGAAAAGCGGAAGCATTGCATCATCAGCATTTTCTGTGCTCTTTACCTAAAGGAATAAAGGTTGCGTTGATTTCATTGCTACAACTAGCTGTACAATGGTTGGTTGAAATTGCGATAAATATATGTTGCAAATGTTATTGGGTACCATAAATGCTCTAGCTTGCGTGCAAACTTTACTTTCTGTTGCGAAGGAGAGCCAGGCTATAAAACCTCAAATTTGCCTCCCCTCAAATAAGCCCTCACCCTATCATGCCAATTTTTCAATGAATTACCATCATCGTTAGATCATTTTATAGCCAGGCACCTTGGAGCGTTGACAAATACGCATGCAAAATGAAAAAAGTCATAATGATTATTGTAAGGCAGATATTCTGATACACCACACTGCAAATAACAGTAATACATTTATGTTCTGCCATGCATGAATTTCCATACAACTTCAATTTGAATTTTGCTTTTGCCTGTTTCTTTTCAGGTCAATGTTGCGATCAATAGTAGTACTTCTATGTATTCTCAGATGAGAAAAATCGAAAGACTAGAAGGAGATGAAGATGTGTTAAGGGAAAAAATTAATCAAGAAGAAAAAATTTGCAGTGATGGGAAACAGACTGAGGTTGAAAGGCCTTGCTTTTGTTGGCTTGAAGCTTTTGATATACGCCAATTGGGCTCAATAGGTATTTCAGGGGGTTTAAAATCTTTAACCGACAGGTTTATCGAAACAGAAGCCATTTAAACTACCACAGCTTTAATCTTTTTGAGTGAGTAGCAAGGAATTTATTTTTCAGTGTTTATTGAAAGTTCTCTACATTATATGTCTATCCTCAAGGATTTCATGTACATGCCTAACAACAGTCAGCTCTTTTGATTGCAAACGTTTTTGTAAATTTATTATACAGCAACTTTTATATTTCATGAACTTTTGTGGAGGATAACCACTTAGAATTTAAGAGGGGGGAGGGACAACTCTTAAAAGATGTATATTACTAGCTGTATTTTAGCAGGTGTCTTTTCCTTTTAAGGTTCCTCGTCGTCATAAAATCTATATGCAGGGCAATACAGAATGATAACGCAGGATTTGTAAGACAAAGTTATCTAAGAAACAGGTTGCTCAAAACTTAATGTGTTTAAACCAGTTAAAAGTCAGCATTGTGTATTTATCTGTTTCTTAGTTCCCCGATGTTTGTCGCCATATTTTTAGACTGTATTCATTTAGCAAATAAAGTAGTCAAATCATCCTAAATCATGGTTCTATTGCCCTGTTTTCTTTTTAATTGGTTTGTTTATCTTACCTGAATGAAAGTGCCAGCTTGATGTAGCTGTCTGCAAATATATTTAGGACACTGTTAATGTCCTGAATAGATTTTTGATATTTTTTTAATTTTTTTGTTTATAGTTGAGACAAACATCCAGAATGCTATTCTTTGAATTAACTGATGGGTTGCAAGTCGTCAATGCGATTGAATACAGCTACTTACCATTTTTCAACGACAATATTACCCCTGGTTTAAAGGTGATTTTTCGTAAGCTGTTTTTTTAAAGCCATCTTGTTCCAAGATAGTTTTGAATCCTTCTTTATTTCTATGAAACGTTTGCTCAATTTGTCTGATTGTCGCATGTGCTCAGTTTTGCTACCCATGGCGAATAGCCAACCCTTCTAATTACATCACATGGGTTTGCATGCACAACGCATTGTTGGTTTTATAGTGACACGTCGCCGTTGTACCGCTGTTTTCACTGTTCAATTGACTCTTAACTGCGCAAAATGCTTCAAAACGAAGCTTTTAAACTTTGAAGCCACAGCCCTAGTTTTTGTAACTCTTCCGAGATCCAGGAAGATGGACACATCTCAAGGTGGCCTGGGTAAGAATGGCGCATTACGCGAAGGACCAACGTTTGTGAAATACCAAGCCCCATCAACCAAGATAGACTGGCAAAAATCTGTTCGTTTCTTCCATTCATTACTTCGTTAAAAGGTTTGTTATTGATAGGAAACGTATTAGTGATTGAGTACTTTTCCCGGAAAACCCATTGCCCCATTGCTCCATTGCCACATTGCCATCATGAATACAGGTTGCGGAAAGAGTGCCGAGGTTGTTTTAAATCTTTCCTGCGGATAAAATGGATCCATCTTTTTCTTAATTGCTGTTTCTCGTCGCTTTTACCAGATGAAATGGCGTTAAACGAAATAATTTTGTTCTTTTTACTGTTCTGAAACAGTTCAGCACGCAGCAAGTAATACTTCCAGTTTTTCTTTCAGTGTTAAGTTCATCAATTTTCTCAACACTTATTGACGATTTTTGTTATTGATGATTCCAACTGAATAGCTTCGTTTGCTGCATTCCCTTCCAAAATTTTTCGAGAAATGTTGTGGAATTATTTGAATATATGGCCGAAATGCTTTGCAAAGGCGATGCAAATCTGATCGATGACTGCAAAATTTGGAAGAAAGAACTTTATTCATGATTTGCCTATCTCCGATTTGCCTACTTTTATCACAAATTACTTTAATTGTTTAAATAATTGAAAATGGTAAACCCATTTCAGATAGAGCTGAAAGGGCCAGTCGTCTGCAGAGATGGCCTATTGCTTCTCTGTCCTGAAAACATTCACATTCTTGGAGGAAGTGCAGAAGATCTTAGACACGAATACGATTTAATGAAAATTTTTCAAAATATGTTGTAAGTGTTTCAGTCGTTCTTCTCAATGTGTTTTTCCAATCTTTTCATTGAAATAATGATATCACAGGAAGAATATAGTTTGTCTCAAAACCGTTCTCTAGCCCCAAATCATGATAGAAAATGTGTATGGACAATAGCATAACTTGCTCTTTCTAAATCTATGCTCTTTCTGCATGTAATTAATGGCAGTGTTAAATTGTAGTTCTTTCCATAGGTCCTCCAATGAAAGAATGCTTGGAGATCAGGTTCGTAAGGGGAACAATAGAAAGCCTGATACAGCCTCTTTGGATATCGAACACCCTTCTGCACTGAAACAAGAACGTTTACGCAAAGGTGATTTCACAGCTTTATTAGAAAGCAGTCAACATTAAAAGAAATTGCCATCGGCTTTGATTCAACAATAAATGAAAGGTAGGAACATTGCAGAAACGACGAGAAACAATCCAATGTAATTTAAATAAATGCAACAAATATCAACAACCAAAATTGTAAAATTTTGTGGTTCTTTATATTGGTTTTGTTCATTTATTTACTTTTTTTTCGATTGCTGCTCATCGTTTTGCAGTGTTCTTGCCTATCAGTTATTGTCTGAATCTTTGATCGCAAGATTCACAGAGTCCGATGGAGGGCCTTATCAAGCGTCCCTACCTTCAGGCAAAGTCGATCTAGCACATTGCCAAATGCAGAAAATGAAAGTTTATGAAATAGTCAAAAAGTAGAGAAAAAAATACCTTGTTGATGATGTATATCTTATGTATTTCCATGTTATGTCATATATCTGATATTTTTCTATGTAATTTCCTATCTAAGTCTTTAATGATATTTAGGATTTCGTTGGAAACATATTAAGCGTTGTGTACATTACCTTCAATCACTATGGCAATTTCCTTTTATTCAAAAAAGTTTCTAAGCAAGCACATGTTTACTCACATATGTACATTAAATCCTTCAAAGAGGAATTGTCACCTTTTTAAGATACAACATTTGTCGGGTCTTCTGTACATTGAAATTTGTGTTATTTTAAATCTGTTGCAAATTCTTTTACATAAAAACGTCAGGTCATATTTTAAGCGTTTTACCAAATTCAAAGTGAATATTTTGCAATAAAGCTGCCAAATTTTTCATGTTTGAAAGTGGCAAATTTAAGTAGATTAAGGAAAATGCGGTTTCTCGACTTGTAACAGCTACATTCTTTTCTTTGTAGAACAAAATTTTCTCGATGTTAATTCCAAATGTGCTTATCCTGACGATGACGTCATCTTGGATATGGAGGATGATTTCATATTCGATGCAGAAATCGGCCCAGCTAATGTTATTGAAGCTGTTTTTCCAGAAGACGAAGCGGCCTCTGATGCAGTCTGTTTGGAGGCCATAGATTCTATTGTTGGTCCGTCTACGTCATTAGCTAGCTGTCCTAATCAAAGTCTTAATCAAAGTGCCACCTTGAAGTGTCGCTCAAATTGTATGTTACGTTGGCTTTTAAATAACTACCTGTATTCTGCGTGACCTGTTGTTTGATTGTATCGGTTTTTTGTATTCTTGTTAATAGAAAGTTGTTGAAATCTTCCAAGGGTACTATTTGATATTTTAGGTCAAAGCAAAACGGAAAGCGAGGAATTGTTTTTGCTAGATTTTATCACAAGAGCATCTATCAAGAAACACTGTATAAAGGTAATTTAATCACTACGTTTGCGTGTTGTTTCCTTAATAGAAGCTTTTGGAATTTAGAATTCCAATATTGGACCAAAATGAGGAAACATTGGACAACATACTGCAAGAAACTGTATCAAAATCTTACGTCTTTTCTAATATGCAACTGTCCTTTTTATCTGAAGGCCTACATCGTCACACTGCTTTCGAAACTAGATATACAGAAGACGTCTTCTAGCCTTTCTGTTTGCATCGACGATGGTTCTGCCACCGTGAGTGCACTTCTGTCAAACCAGGTATCGTATTTTTGCGAGTTGTTACCATAATAAACCAGTGATCTTCTTTTAAAGTCGGCACATGCTCCTTGATTCGGGCGTATGACTTTTTCTTTCATTGTTTCTTTTTACATTTTGCAGGTAATTGAAAAGGAGTTAGGCTTCGCATCGTCTTCGATACGGGTAATGCAATGTTTCAAATTTTTGACTTAAAATTCGGATGCAGCTAGGATCCCGTTTACACTACAGAAAAAAGAACGTAACTCTGTGCCTGAAAAAGCGACGATAGGCCTTGCGTTTACACTAGGAATCTTGGCTCCGTGCTATTTTGGGAATGGTTTCGGTCTTCTTTGGTTTCACTAAAATGCGAAACTCTATGGTTCCCTTCCCAAATCGTGCTTGCTTTTTCTAGTGTAAACGGTCAGGAACGGAACTTTTGGTTACGATTGAAAACGGGGCCTAATCTAGGGTTGGGTTGAGGCTTTCTGAAAATGTCATTGCCGTGCTACTGCGCATGATTCACATGGAAGTTCCGTTTTTTTACTCAAGTGTAAACGGGCTCAAATTTGGATCAGTATCTTTTTGCTTCAATACAAAGCGATGGAAAAAAGGTATAGTGCCCAAACAAGAACGGAAGCAAGGAGCCCCGTTCTTTCTGTAGTGTAAACGGATCTAATTCAATGTAAAAGGGGAAAACCATTCAATCTTTTAATTTTTTTTGCATTGCTTGTTTTTGTGATTCTGACTGGGTAGGACGTGCAACCCTGGACCCCGGTCGTGACTTTTCTATAAGTACGCGGTACTGAGTACTAAAAGCTTTAATAAGCTCAGAAGACTCATTAAATTTCAATTTTCTAGAGGAGGGCTAAAAAGATAGGGGGGGGGGGTTAATTTAGAAAAGTCAATATGAATAAGTGACTTTTTGGCTTATATTCCTATGATTGTATCATTAAATCTCAATGAAATTAACAAAATCAGACTACAACTATATCTTCATCTTGATCTTTGTCAATCTTTGAAATTAAGAGTATCCTCAAGATTGATTTCACTTTCTGGAAATGATTCGAAATTGTCGATGTTAATATCCTCCTGCCCTTTAAGATCAAGTAAATTCCTACAAGGACAATGCTTAATGCATAAGATCCGATCGTCCTTAGGACCATGATAGGAGATATAAAAAAAACATGATTATTTATGCCTAAATATTTGTTTTTCATCTCATATCACTTCAGGTGTGTGATATTGGAAGAGGGGGGGGGGGGTTAAAAAGGGAGAATGGGCTAAAAAGAGAGGGGGCTTTTTGCGAATTTTTCAATTGAGGGGGGTCTATTGAATAGGGGTTAATGGAGAGAGGGGCTTAGTAAAGCTTTTATAGTATACCGGTCATGTGCACGCGTTTTTTGATTTGCCTATTCCGATTCACAACTGGGTCTATATTTTTCATCTTATCTTTGACCCTGATTCTGACATTTTATCTTCTGCATTGAGGAGTGTCAGACAAACGACTTTCAGTATGTTGTCAAATGTTTGCTAATTTCAAAGCCACTTCCTTTTGTCTTAAATTCAATGACTGAATGTAAATTTTTCAGGAAATTTCAGAAAAATCTACAGGTATACCTGAATCTATGAAAAAGGTTGGTTTTTATTTGACAAAATGTTGTTTTTTTGTGGATACTGCCTAAATTAGGGTTAAATACTTATAAAATGATATATGGTATTGTTTGGACTTAATTGGCCGGGTGCTGTGAAAGGGCGCAGCTTCCCTTTTACGAATTCGGATTTTTCTGTGACTAAAGGTAGCTCCTGTGGATGTACTGTTCATAAGATTGGTCCATTTTAATTAACTGTGTACAAAGTTTCAATAAGTAAACAGTTTATTAAGTTTCTTTTCATCGATTCATTGCTTTAAAAGTTCTGTTGAATGCACTTTTTATCAAATCAATTCCTGTCAATGCATTTTAATTGTTACTTTTAGTAGTTAGAAGAATTTTTTTCAATATCTCTTTAAAAGCTATTTTTCACATATGTAATGCAATATTTCTTGAAATTTTCCTGTCTAGGAGTTAGTTCACTGTCAGCAGCGATTAGCAAATTCTCGATGGAAGATGCATGTTGTTAAAACAGATGCGCAGAAGTTGACTATTACAGACATGACTGAGTGGCCTGCCTTGGAATAGAAATTTGCTGCTGTTGTTCCAATGTCGTTATTTTTCTTTGTGTATTAAGGAAAACAAGCAAACTTTCGTAAGGTCCTCGTTGCATACCAGAAATTCTGTGAACTATCGACTTAATCTCAGGTCACGTAACTTAAGTCACGTAAGAAGGATTATTAAATGAATTCTGCTATTAGAATTCAGTTAATTGTGTTAGTCAGTTGGCCAAGAATCCTATTCGAAAACAGTTGTAAGTAGAGAATGTCAGTTAGTGGTATTTCAAAATAAAGCTAGACCCACAGTCCTCTTGATAGAATCAGATGAATACAGTATGATGATTAAACTTCTTTATTCTACAGGCCTACAAAAACCGCCAAATTCTTTCGAAATTATTTCACTCAAAAAACTAGCTTATTTGCTTCATTTTGATTGAGTAAAGCAAAAGATTAACTTGGTTCTGGTTTTTTTGAACAGTCAAATTTTCGATAAAAAATTAAAGCTATAGGCTCACAAAGATCACCAAATTTTTTAAAATTTATTTTCACACAAAACTAATTTAGTTTTGGAAACAGCGTCGGTTTTATGGAAAATCACGGTTTTTGGAGAGGCGAATTTTCGATTAAAAGTAAGGCTATAGGCTTACAAAAACCGCCAAATTCTTTGGAAAAATTTTTGTTTAAAGGCAATCTGTCACGACGTTGATTGATTATAAGAACAAAAGGATTTCTATTGTTTCCAGTCCCCCTTTAATTTATCGCATTTTAAAAAATATGGCGGGGAGCTGGAATTGTGTTTAGGCTATTGTTCCAGCTATTGTTCTCGTTAACCAATCCACAACAAGACAGATTGCCTTTAAAATACTAGCCGATTTTGTTTTCGTTGATTAGAAAAACAAAAACTAATTCAGTTTAGGAAACAGAGTCATTTTTAAAGCAAAATGAGGGTTATTTGGAGGGGCCAATTTTCCATAAAAAGTAAGGCTACAGGCTTACTCAAAAAATTAGTTTATTTACTTCGTTTTGAATAAGAAAAGCAAAAGATTAATTTAGTTCTGGATCAAAAATTAAAGTTATAGGCTCACAAAGATCACCAAATGTTTTTGAACTTATTTTCTCAAAAAATTAGTTTTTCTGGACCACTTTGATTAGAAAAAAAATTAATATGGTTTTGCAAACAGCGTCGTTTTTATGGAAAATCACGGTTTTTTGGAGACAACAAATTTCGATAAAAAAAAGACTATAGGCTTACAAAAACCGCCAAATTCTTTCAAAATTGTTTTGATTAAAAGAGTAGCTGATTTTGTTTTTGTTGATAAAAAAACAAAAATTAATTTAGTTTAGGAAACATCGTTATTTTAATGCAAAATGATGGTTTTTTGGAGAGGCCAATTTTCCATAAAAAGTAGGGCTACAGGCTTACAAAAACCGTCAAAATGTTTTAAAATTTTTTTGATAAAAATACTAGCTGATTTTGTTTTCGTTGATTAGAAAAAACAAAAATTAATTTAGTTTAGGAAACAATCTTGTTTTTGAAGCAAAATGATGGAATTTTCTTTTGGTTGATTAGAAAAAATTTAAATTAATTTTATTTAGAAAACAGTTTTGTTTTTGAAGCGAAATGACGGTTTTTTTGTGGGGCCAATTTTCTATGAAACGAAGGGCTAACGGCTTACAAAAATCGTTAAATTTTTGCAAATTTTTTTTTAACAAAAAAAGCTGATTCTGTTTTCATTGATTGAAAAAAAGCAAAAATTAATTTAGTTTAGGAAACAGCGTCGTTTTTATGGAAAATCATGGTTTTTTGGAGACACTAATTATCGATCAAAAGTAAGGCTAAATGCTTACAAAAATCGTCAAATTTTTGCAAAAAATTTTTAAGGAAAGAACTACCTGATTTTATTTTTGTTGATTGGAAAAACATAAGTTAATTTAATTTAGGAATCAATGTTGTTTTTGAAGAAAAAGATGGTTTTTTAGAGAGAGCAATTTTTGATGAAACGTAAAGCTATAGGCTTAAAAATCGTTAAACTTTTGCAGATTTTTTTTAACAAAAAAAAGCTGATTTGGTTTTGGTTGCTAAGAAAAAATTTAAATTAGTTTAATTTAGGAAACAATCTTGTTTTTGAAGAGAAAGATGGTTTTTTAGAGAGCGCAATTTTTGATGAAACGTAAAGGTATAGGCTTGAAAAAATCGTCAAACTTTTGCAAATTTTTTTTTCACAAAAAATAGCTGATTCTGTTCTCGTTGATTAAGAAAAACAAAAATTATATTTGTTTTGGAAACAGCGTTGTTTTATGGAAAATCGTGGTATTTTGGAGACACTAATTTTGGATAAAAAGTAAGGCTATAGGCTTACAAAAACCGCCAAATTCTTTCAAAATTTTTGCGTTTAATAAACTAGCTGATCCGTTTTCGTTGATTGGAAAAAACAAAAAGTAATTTAGTTTTGGGAACAGCATCGTTTTTATGGAAAATCACAATTTTTGATGAAACGTAAAGCTATAGGCTTACAAAAATCGTCAAATTTTTGTAAAAAATTTTGAGGAAAAAACTAGTTGATTTTCTTTTCGTTGATTAGAAAAAGTTAAATTTAATTTAATTTAGGAAACAATCTTGTTTTTGAAGCAAAGTGACGGTATTTTGGAAAAGCCAATTTTCGATAAAAAGTGAGGCTATCGGCTTGCAAAACCGCCAAATTCTTTCGAAATTTCTTTGATCAAAAAACTAGCTGATTTTCTTTTCGTTGATTAGAAAAAGTTAAATTTAATTTAATTTAGGAAACAATCTTGTTTTTGAAGCAAAGTGACGGTATTTTGGAAAAGCCAATTTTTGATAAAAAGTGAGGCTATCGGCTTGCAAAAACCGCCAAATTCTTTCGAAATTTCTTTGATCAAAAAACTAGCTGATTTTCTTTTCGTTGATTAGAAAAAGTTAAATTTAATTTAATTTAGGAAACAATCTTGTTTTTGAAGCAAAGTGACGGTATTTTGGAAAAGCCAATTTTCGATAAAAAGTGAGGCTATCGGCTTGCAAAAACCGCCAAATTCTTTCGAAATTTCTTTGATCAAAAAACTAGCTGATTTTCTTTTCGTTGATTAAAAAAAGTTAAATTTAATTTAATTTAGGAAACAATCTTGTTTTTGAAGCAAAGTGACGGTATTTTGGAAAAGCCAATTTTCGATAAAAAGTGAGGCTATCGGCTTGCAAAAACCGCCAAATTCTTTCGAAATTTCTTTGATCAAAAAACTAGCTGATTTTCTTTTCGTTGATTAGAAAAAGTTAAATTTAATTTAATTTAGGAAACAATCTTGTTTTTGAAGCAAAGTGACGGTATTTTGGAAAAGCCAATTTTCGATAAAAAGTGAGGCTATCGGCTTGCAAAAACCGCCAAACTCTTTCGAAATTTCTTTGACCAAAAAACTAGCTGATTTTCTTTTCGTTGATTAGAAAAAGTTAAATTTAGTTTGATTTAGGAAACAATCTTGTTTTTGAAGCAAAGTGACGGTATTTTGGAAAAGCCAATTTTCGATAAAAAGTGAGGCTATCGGCTTGCAAAAACCGCCAAATTCTTTCGAAATTTCTTTGATCAAAAAACTAGCTGATTTTCTTTTCGTTGATTAGAAAAAGTTAAATTTAATTTAATTTAGGAAACAATCTTGTTTTTGAAGCAAAGTGACGGTATTTTGGAAAAGCCAATTTTCGATAAAAAGTGAGGCTATCGGCTTGCAAAAACCGCCAAATTCTTTCGAAATTTCTTTGATCAAAAAACTAGCTGATTTTCTTTTCGTTCAATAGAAAAAGTTAAATTTAATTTAATTTAGGAAACAATCTTGTTTTTGAAGCAAAGTGACGGTATTTTGGAAAAGCCAATTTTCGATAAAAAGTGAGGCTATCGGCTTGCAAAAACCGCCAAATTCTTTCGAAATTTCTTTGATAAAAAAACTAGCTGATTTTCTTTTCGTTGATTAGAAAAAGTTAAATTTAATTTAATTTAGGAAACAATTTTGTTTTTGAAGCAAAGTGACGGTATTTTGGAAAAGCAAATTTTCGATAAAAAGTGAGGCTATCGGCTTGCAAAAACCGCCAAATTCTTTCGAAATTTCTTTGATCAAAAAACTAGCTGATTTTCTTTTCGTTGATTAGAAAAAGTTAAATTTAATTTAATTTCGGAAACAATCTTGTTTTTGAAGCAAAGTGACGGTATTTTGGAAAAGCCAATTTTCGATAAAAAGTGAGGCTATCGGCTTGCAAAAACCGCCAAATTCTTTCGAAATTTCTTTGATCAAAAAACTAGCTGATTTTCTTTTCGTTGATTAGAAAAAGTTAAATTTAATTTAATTTAGGAAACAATCTTGTTTTTGAAGCAAAGTGACGGTATTTTGGAAAAGCCAATTTTCGATAAAAAGTGAGGCTATCGGCTTGCAAAAACCGCCAAATTCTTTTGAAATTTCTTTGATCAAAAAACTAGCTGATTTTCTTTTCGTTGATTAGAAAAAGTTAAATTTAATTTAATTTAGGAA